TTTTTTTTAAGTTTAAATTGTCTCAAATTCAGATATCTTTTGGAATGAATTTCTTACGGTTTTTTAAAGTAATTTTTTTAGTATAAAATTAAATTTTTTTTAACTAAAAATAATTTTATTTTATTATTTACCATTCCAAAATTGGGACAAATGTCAGAATGACACAGTCAACAAATTATTCTTTATTTTTAATATTAAAATTTAGATTTCTCCCCGTTTTTTCCTTCATCCGCGTGTTAAATTCTTTGATCACTAATTTGACGCATAGTTTGAGCAAAATCAAAAGTTTGAACCGAAAAAAAAAAAGGTTAGATCTGAAAATAATCTTCATATTCGTTGAACCTACTAAATTATATTAATATTTACTATGAGTTGTTTTCTTAATCGGCATATTATTATTCTTAAAAATTTCAGCTGAGTTCTATGCGAGTATGTCATGTGCTGTCTTTTGCTTCTTGGAGTTAGCTTCCGGTATTGTTCAGTGGAAAATTTTTATTATGCGACCCAACTACTACAAATTTAAATAGTTATCACCAGCGGCAAAGTCAAAAAAAATTTTTTTTTATGGGGGAACTGATTTTTATATTGGGGGAAGAAGTCAAGGAGATATCGAGGGAGATAGAGAATGAAATACATACACAATCAAAAGGGTGAGAGAAGACGAGAAAAGCAAAATGCCACTGTCAAACACGGCGTCGGTGCCAAAGATGTTGTCAAACTATTTTCGTAGAGGCGACATTAGGAGAATAGCATATGGAAGTAAATGTAGTCAAGCGGAGCACGAAATCATGACGGATTACATTGAAGAAGAGTAGAGTGGAGTAGATAAATCATGTGATCAGGGAATCTCGACAGGGAAAAAAAGTGCTTATAGCGAAGTAGTCGCAAGAGCAAGGAAGATAAGTTTTTTTTTTTTTTTTTAACCGCTTGCAAGAAATGCATGATGCAGGCTTTTCTAAATTTCAGAGAAGGGAATGACCCCTCGGGGTTACTACATTTAAAATTACTCAATATTTTTAAGCGTTTTGTATATCATAAATATATTCTTTTTAAATATTATGTATATTATAAATATATTCCTTTTTTACATATTTAAATACAATCATACCTATGCCTCAAATTAAAGTTGTATCGAACAAATACAAGATAATTAAGTCTTTGATGTTCTAGATGATTCCGTCTCTTGGTATGAATTTATTCAAATACACTCCAATTTCTTTCACATCCAGAAGATGAAGAAGTTTGGCTTAAAATTCTAACAGCCAATCTCTGCAAATTTGGTGCACTTGATCCGAATATTTTCCTCCATTCATCAACAAAAAACTAAGTATTATTTATTTGATATGCATTAAAGAAGAAATATATACTAAAATATTGGCCTCGCTTATCTGGCTGCATTTCTTGGGCCATCGATAGTGCAATTGGTTTGGCAAACGATGTTAGACTTTTCCGTGATAATTTAGAGAGCTTTGGCAAAGCCTTTCATGGGGTACTGGTTGGCTGGTTGGGTACCTGTGCTTTGTGCGGACGGACTTTGTCCCACCACGCCCACCCATGATGACTTTTAGGATGCTATACTCACTTATACTCACCCTATTTCCATGTTTTTTGAACACAGTCCGTCACGAACTGATGGCCTTGAAGCTTGTTGTCCTTTGCTATGCTTGCAAACTTTCAAGGCGCGAATCATAATTTATCGTGGTCGCAATGTGGTTTAGTGTTGCACATTGCGTAGTAATATATGACCTACGGTGCTTATCAATGTAAATCGATTTATCCTCCGATATTTAGTACCCACTCATACCTACTTATGTGATCATGAGTTTTATGGGTGGGTAGGTGTGAATTTGGATACCCAATACAAAGCCCTGTATGTCTGTTCAAATTCATAAAAATTGAATTTATGTCAAGATTACATTTTATTTTACTTTCAGAAAACGTTATCACTGAAAAATAAAAAATCACAACAAATGATTTCAATTCTCAATTAAATACCAACGTATCGGTTGCGATTTTTCCAAAAAAAAAAAAAAATGTCGGCAGCACGCTCTTTGGGATGTCAGTTCAGTCGCAGTAGAACTCAAAGTACTTTTTTTTTAAAAAGTTAAATCTCTGTATGATTGCAACGTGTTTTAAATATCACAACCGTTACCGCGCAAATTTTCCACGCACTTGTTCTTATATTAGCTGTAATGATAGACAAAAAATAGCAATTTATCGCCATTGTCGTCTCCGGAAAATAAGGCCCCAAAACTAGGATTCCTCCATTTTCTCTACACTCTCTTTGGCTCTTCGCCGTCTCATGTTCTTTCTCTCTCTTATCTCTCATGGTCACAGCTTTTCTCTCTGTCAAAAGAAGAAGCGAATGGGTAATTTCGATCTGTAATCGAAGATCTCCAGCGCTTTTATTTTGGTTCTCGATCTGTCTAGGGTTTCATAATTTTTATTGATGTTTCTTATAAAACTAGAAAGATAGGATGGTTGCTTGGACGCAAATAGCTATAAATCCTTTTCAATTTCAATTATTAACTCGTGTTAATTTGTTTGTCTTTCAGCGCCTCAAATAATTTGGGCCTGTTTCCACTAAGATTTGACTATATACATGCCCTTTGTCGCTTTTGAAGCGCTTCAGATGGATGTGTTTCTTAGATTATTCTTCACTTGCTGAAAATTTTGCATTGGGTGAACAAGATGGAAGTTGTCTCCCAGCTAAAGCGGGGTATATCTCGGCAGTTCTCCACTGGTTCGCTTAAGAAGATTGGGAGTTTCAGTTTTAAGAGGCAGACATCATTTGATCCCAGACTTACCAATGCAAGCAGATTTCTCTTTGGCCGGCAGTCATCGCTTGACCCTAATCGCAGGAGTCCAGTCTGCGATGAGCCTGCTGTGCCGGAAAATTTGGATTCCACCATGCAGCTCCTTTTCATGGCTTGCCGAGGTGATGGGAAGGGGATGGCTGAGTTGCTGAGGGAGGGCATCGATGTGAATAGTATTGATCTAGATGGAAGGACTGCTCTTCATATAGCTGCTTGCGAGGGTCATGTTGAAGTGGTCAAGCTATTGCTTGACTGCAAGGCCAACATTGAGGCGAGGGATCGTTGGGGAAGCACGGTAGATTGAACTCCTGTTTCCTGCATTCCTAGGTTTTATTGTTTTAGTCCAATCCAGTAAGAGATATATCAGCAATTGATTGATATTCCTAGGGAAATTGCAAATAGGATGGAAGGAAAATCAAAGAGTACGACAGGCAAAGTATGCCATATTTCTTCACTAGAATTGCAATCTGGTGATGGTAATAAGGCATTAACTTCTGAAACGAATTAAGAGTTCTTTTCCCAATCCAACGCCAATCTCCCTTTTATAATTTGTATAATATTCCGCAGGAATTATTATTATTATTTTTCACACAAGATTGTTTTTTCGTGTTGGTGTTGTGTTTTCTATCATGCAGGCTGCTGCTGATGCTAAGTTCTACGGCAACGTTGAAGTCTATAATCTCTTGAAAGCTCGAGGGGCAAAACGTCCAGTAATATTAAGTACTTCTTAGTTTGCGAAACTATTCATTAATTTAAAAACTTGTTTAATTATCCTACTATTTTGTTTTTCTAGAAAACCAGAAAGACCCCCATGGCTGTTTCAAATCCCAAAGATGTGCCAGATTATGAGGTCAATCCCACAGAACTTCAGTTTCGCCGAGGAGAAGACATATATAAGGCATGCTCTTATGATTTGTTAGATCGTCGTGCTCATTTAACTGATATATAATTATATACAGGCTAGGGGGTTCAAAACTAGTTATTTCCATTTCTTTCCGGGATAGAACTTGCAGGACTTTTTTGGTGCTTATATTCAGATTGTGGATATATTGAAAACAAATAAAAATTTGATTTTTGGGACAAGATAATAACATTTTATTAACGTATAAATGATTATTTGAGAAAATCTAGTTTTCTTCAAGGAGGTTCATTTGTTTTCCATGTAAACCAAAATTGGAGTGTGTAAACCAAAAAGGATGGTTTATAATTACTTTCTTGATGCCATTTGACAGAATACTCACCAGGTAGCTAAATGGAATGGGACAAAGGTCGTTGTGAAGATTCTTGATAAAGACAGCTATTCGGATCCAGATTTCATGTAATTATTGTGCTTATGCTTTGAAATAATTTTCCGTAGGTTCATATCTGTTGTTTCTGTAAATGCAAAGGAGTTTGCTGAACATCTGTTCATTAATTGGGTTATCTATGTTGTTGTAGTGATCCTTGTAGTGAAAACTTGTTACCATTCATCTAGTCAAATCAATTATTCGAATTTGTTGATTGCTGTTAAAACATTCAATCTGGAATTAAAAAAAAGCTAGTTTAGAAATATCAAGGCTGTCACTTCCCAGAAGAAAAACTCGGCCTTTTCTGGTGTTTTCTTAAGTACGATAGGAAGAGACTATGCCCCATTAAATCCATTACTTTTGTGTACCAAAAACAAGCTAAACCAGCAATGAAATACGCCATCATTGTCAATTTTATTGATTGCTGTTAAAACATTCAATTTGGAATTAAAAAAAAAAAACCTAGAAATATTGGCCATTGCTTCCCACAGCAGAAACTGGACCATTTTTGCATGTTTTCTCTAGCACAATAGGAAGTGACCATGCCACATTAACTCTATTACTTTTTTGTACCACATAGAAGCTAAAACAACAATGATTTAGGCTTCGTTTGGGATGGCTTTCTTCTTGCTTTTTAAAACAGCTTTCTAGCACAAAAGTTTCTTGGATTTGAATTTTTGTACTAGAAAGCTGTTTTAAAAAGCAGTACGAAAGCTATTCCAAATGAAACCTTAATCATCATCGTCAACTTTTACTCCTTGCTACTTGGCCAACTTCTTGTCTCTATCTCCCATCTTTTTCCTATTGAGAGATATATTTGCCAAGGTCGCCAAGTTCTAGGTTTGTTTAGAACTTCTGTTAAATATCTAATGTTACACACATTTGCCTTCCTCTTTCAATTGCCAGCCTTCTTTTCACACTCCGTTTCCACCTTATGATTCTTGCTCTTCCTTAACAGTACTGTTTAAACTTTGATTACCTAGTTGGAGTACAATTAGACAAGGAAGCTCCCAAACTTCGCTTTATGTGAATGCATTCTAATTTTTATAGCCCACATTATCATAGTAAATAGCTTTGAAAGAAAACCAATTTGTGACAAAAATGGTAGATCACTTCTAATCTAAATAACACAACCAAGAACAAACAAAACTCTTTGATAAATTATATTGTTGGTACCAATAGCCAATACTCTGTTTCCTCAGCTGCAATAGATATTGTTCAGTGATACTAATTTACTCCAGCACTGCCTATTTATCTTCTAATATCGTAAAAATGATGGAGTACCAAATAACCATCAGTAGACATTAGCCCATACATCTTGAGTTTTTAATAATATTTATAGGTATCTCTGTAAGAAAAAATTTCATTGGGGTCCTCTTAATATGCTCGAGGATATGAATACCAACTTCTCAAAATTTTTGTTTGGGAAATTGCATGCGTTGAACAACACTACTATAATTAAAGAAATATCTAGACTAGTGATAGCAAGGTAAATTATTAATTTAACAAACCTACAATAACTAGAAACAACCCCATACAATCTTCTCCATTAGCTATATTCTAAGTGTCAATAAGAGTGTTAGCTGGTTTGCAACTTTAGAAGATTAGTTTCCTCTTGGCAATTAGTGTCATATTTTCATTGAGATAATAATACATTAGTTTTGCTATAGTTAAGTTCAATACCCAACAAATATTTATAATGACCCAAATCTTTGGTTAGAAAACATTTTTAAACACACAAATATTTATAATAACCCAAATCTTTGGTTAGAAAACATGTTTAAAGGTAGTGTTTAACCTCAATTACCCCTTCTTGATCGCTTGTTATAAGAAGAATACCATCAACATAGATTGCGGATATAACAGACCTTGAGGAGGTGTGTTTAGCAAAGATGGAGTGATTCATTGTGCTATTGCAAAGGTTGTCTACAAATAGCTTTGCAAAACTTATCAACATGCACTAGGCTTTTCTTAATTTCATAAACGTCCTTGTTACATACTTATATTTACAAGCTTTGGTCTCTACTCGAGTAACATGCTACGGAGGTTGGCCCATATAAACAACATCAACTAGGTCACCTTAGATGTTAATAACATCCCTTTGAAGTGAAGACCAATCTTGATTGATGGCAATAAATAATAAAATTCAAACAGAATTAAGTTTTGTGACTGGAGAAAAAGTTTTTTTTTTCTCTTAAGACTCGAGTGTTCTTGCTAATAATTGGAGAGTAGGCATTATAATAATCATCTCGTTAATCTAAGTAAATCCATTGGCGATTAGACAATTGACATGACAGTAGAGTTCACAAAGGATAAAAGTAAACGTCTGTGCAAGAACAAGTGAGCACACAAGAGGAGGTGCAAATTGACGAGCACACACAACATAAGAAGGCGTGAGCGAGTGATCTGAACAAAATGGGAGATTGAGTGAGCGACATGGGTGATCAAACGAGGAACAAACGGTGATGGTAGCACAATAAAAAAAGCAGTGAATGTTTGAGCAGCAAGGGGCTTACTGTGGGTTGAGCATGTGACTGCGGGTATTGCGATTGAGATAGTAGCGAGTAGTCAAGTGATTAATCGAGCGGTACAAGCAGTGTGAGATTAGCAAGCGAGTGGGGCTAGGTTGGGATTAGGGGAGTAAGAAATAGGTTTTCTTGTTTTAATACCATTTTTCAGTAAATGTTTTTGTGTGTGTGTTTTCATTCAATAGATGGATCTCTTATGTATAATAGGAGGAAAAAAAATACAATATCCCAGTGGATCATCAAGCGAACACGGACAACTAATCATAAGAAGCTCACTTTCTTAACATTATAGTGCGAATAAAAAGTGTAAAATACAGTTATAAGCATGCATTTTATTACATAGAAATTGGCTCTTTCAAGAAGTTAGCTAAAGTTTTTTATTTTTTATTTTTTATTTTAAAATAATTTTCTTCTCTTCTGTGTAATACAAGAAGGGCTGGCTTGCTCCTCATTCCTTCGAAATATAACCTTCATGGTTTTTTGGAGTTAGCTTGCTATGTCTTTACTATTATATCATTTAAAAATCTGGGCAAAGTGCACTTCATCTCAATGGTGGATTATGTGCATATTTAAAATTACAGGGGGTGAAGTACAAAGGGGATAAATTATAAGATGATTAAATGCAGTTTTTCCTTTAAATTTTAGTACGATAATTCATTTCAATTTTCTCATCCCATAAACATATATATTCTTTTGGCATACATCAAGCGTACCAACTGATTGAGTTTTGTTGAAGTTCCTGCTACATCTGCATTACTTTTTAATCTTTCTTCACTAAAACTTTACATATATTTTTTTGCGCAGAAATGCTTTCAAGAATGAGCTTAGTATGTTGCTGAAGGTTCGACATCCTAATGTTATCCAATTTTTTGGAGCTGTCACTCAAAACACACCAATGATGATTATTTCAGAGTACCATCCAAAAGTTAGTTTATGTCCGCCATTCTCTTACTGCTGTTTGTTTTTTTAATTTTGATATGTGCTATTTCTTTTTCTTAAATATTATTTCTGGACATACACTTGTTGCCTGACTTCTTAATTTTGAACCTCAGGGCAACTTAGGAAGCTATCTTCAGAAAAAAGGTCGACTACAGTTACATCAAGTTCTTAGATTTTCCATTGACATTGCCAGGCAAGTCTTTACTGTTAAAAAAAAAAAAATCTTGATGCTGAAAACAATTACTTTTGGCCACATGGTCACTAAAATTCGTAAATATTAAAATAGCTGTCATCATTTTTTTTTTTAAATTTATTTTTTAAAAAAATAGCTGTCATGATAACTCTGTTGCAAAGGCATCCAAAGCCTAGCTTTGCAAAATAAATTAATGCGTCAAAATTATATTGCCTACATTGCACAATAATATTGTTTGATATATATATTAAGGCTTTGTTTGAGACAACTTTCTTACTGCTTTTTAAAACAGTTTTTTAGTATAAAAATATTTTGAACTAAATTTTTTTATATTTTACCCAAAAAAAATTATATTAGAAAACTACTTTTTGAAAGCATTAAGAAAGCTGTCCCAAATAAAGCCAGATGATTGCATAATGGGCGTTGTTATTCCTATTGAACCAATATGAACTAAACACTAATATTCTTTCTATCCTCTATTCAATCAAGGCCCACTAGTAAAATGCTAGGCATGTCACATAGATTCAAGCTGCAGATGTTTCATGGTCGAAACATAACTTTTAGTAGTTGAAGGCTCTGCTTTGCTTGAAATTTTACACATTAAAAATTTTTTGGTTTGTAAGTTTCCCTCTATATTCATACACATTTCTTTATTTTATAGTTTAGGTTTGCTATATTTGGTTTAGCTCAGTGAAATTCCATTGACACAACTCATTTCTGTTGGGTTCCACAACAAAACCTGCAAACAATGCCTTTTTTCTTTTTTAGTTGCAAATTGAAATATAGTAGCAGATAGGAGATTCAATATAGTTTACCAAGTCTAATTCAGAGCATAAACATGCCAAGTTATATTATCAAGCCGAGTAAAATAATAAAATGGGTAATTATCACTCTGGTCTTTGAATGAAAGATCACGCTATATGTTAATTCATATTTTAAAAAAAGTTTATTTTTGATTCCCAACGACTTTAAATATAAAAAAATTAGTCCCTGAGTTATATGTATTGATTTTTATAGGGATTTTATTTAGCCAGGGGAGGCAAGGACGTCAGTATTATTATCATTTTAATTTAACTCATTTGAATTCCATGAATTTTTGTGACTAAAATATTCTCATTCATCATTTTAAATTGATCCATAGTAGGGGTGTAAGTGAGTCAAGCCGACTTGTGAGCTGACTTCAGACCATTTGAACTCCAATTTCGGCAAACTTATAGTCAAACTGAATGTCTTGAAGAGATGAACCCAATGATACCAAAATCAGTCATATCCGAGCTCAAATGGGCCCTAATTAAGAGCCGGAAGCGTATTTGGAAGGTTCAAAGCATTATTTAGATGACATTTGGCTACAGTTTGGAGATGAGCTTTGAGGCTTTAAGAGCTCCAGCACCACCGTCGACGAACCTCTGTAGACCGTTGCCGGATTACCGCCTAGCCACCGGCTGCCCCCCGAACTTCCACCCAACTATCTTCCGACCACATACTGTCCGCCGACCGCCGCCAGACTTACTCAGCCACCGACCGTTGTCGGACTACCAGCCGGCCGTCAATTGAAGTAGGACTTCAACCCGATTGTTGTCAGACTTCCACCCGGCTTTCAACAAACTTCCGCTCGGCCTCCAATCGTCACCAGACTTCCACCCGACTATCGTCAGACCACCACCCGACCATCGACCGCCGCGGGACTTATACCCCATCGCCAATGGACTTCCGCCCGACCATCGTCGGACCAATGCCCGACCGCCATCAACTGCTTAGCCCCGATCGCCACCAGACTTCCGCTCGACTATCGATGTACTGCCACCCGACTATCGACTACAATCCCTTCGACTGTGGGCTCCGAAAATTCTGCCTCGAGGCCGGTTCTGCGCTCAAATCGCGGGATGCGACTCAAACAGCGCCGAATCGACGGGATTTCTTGCGGTATTTGCGGGAGCTTTCGGCGGGATACGAGGTATTCCCGATCTCTCTCTCGTTCTCTTTTGATTTCTTATACAGAGGTCAACATCGACCACCATCGACCGCTGACTACAATCCCTCCGAACACTATCACCCTCCTATTACAGTCCCTCCGACCACCATCACCTACCGAATATGATCCCTCCGACTTCCACTGCCTGCCAACTATTTGGAAAGAGCTTTGAGGCTTCAAGAGCTCCAACGCCGCCGTCGACGAACCTTTGTTGACTGTTGCCGGATTATTGCTTGGCCACCGAATGCCCCCGGACTTCCACCCGACCATTGTCGGACCACAGCCCGTCCACCGACCACCGCCGTGCTTACTCGGCCGCCAACTGCTGATGGACTACCACATGGCCGTCGACTGGCATCAAACTTCCGCTCGTCCGTTGTCTGACTTCCACCCGGCCGTCGACAACCACCAATCTTCCACTCGGGCCCCAACCGCCACCAGACTTTCACTCGACCATCATCAGACTACCACCCGATCGTCGCAGGACTTCTACCTTGTCGCCAACAGACTTCTGCCCGACCATCATCAGACCAATGCCCGACCGCCATCAACTGCCCGACCCTCGATCGCCGTTGGACTTTCGTTTGACCATCGATGTACCACCACTTAATAGTTGACTACGGTCCTTTCGACCACCGTCGACCGTTGACTATTGTCCCTCCAACCGCTATCTCCTGCCTACTACAGTCCTTTAGACTACCGTCGCCCACCGACTACGGTTCCTTTGACTTCCATTGCCTGCCAACTAGAGGTCACTTCGACCACCCTCGCCCACCGACTACGGTCCCTTCGACCTCCATCGCGGGCCAACTACGGTCCCTCTGACCACCGTCGCTTGCCAACTACAATCCCTATGACTTTCGTCGATCGCCGACTACAGTCCGACTACAGTCCCTCTTATCTCCGTCATCCGCCGACTACTGTCCCTGCAACCACCGTCGCCCGCAGACTACGTTCCCTCCGACTTCTGTCACCTACTGATTATGGTCTCTCTAAACTCCGTTGCTCGCCAACTACAGTCATTCTAACCTTCGTTGCTCGCCAACTATAATCCTCTGACCTTTGCTGGTGTTTTCTTAAGAATGACTTCCTTTTCATTGGATTCTATATTATTTTGTTGAAACTAAGTTCTAAATATGATATTTATATTTTTAATATTATAAATATAAATAAAATATTTATTATTTATTATTATTCACTAACTTAAAATTGCTTCTATTTACACGGCGACTCGAATCTCCCGCATTTTAAACGGTATACGCAGCTATTTTCACACTCCATAAAAATAGACAGTTGGCACTTGGCATGAGTTATATGCCTTTTGCGCCCATGCCTTTTGGCCCTATCGTAGGGATGGGATTCTTCCATTACTCCCTCGAGGTTCCTAGCATTAAGTTTGCTATCTTGCTTTGGCTACCGACTAGAAGACACTGGCCGGTGCTTTCAGAGGTTTTTACAGGAATGTCTGTTCTGTTATTTCACTTGTGCTTGTCGATCTAATTACTTTTCAATGAGAAAACTAGGGCGCTATAGCACCCTTGAGGATTTCTATTGTGCTGATTTGCACAACGCGGACCCTATGATCTAGCTGAAGGCATGAACTCGTCTAGTCTATTGAAAATTGCGTCGGAAAATTTTGTTGCCAATGAATGTGTCATAACCTGTTAAATTAAAAAAGAAAGGAACTTTAGTTAGATATGGCCAGCTCAATTGAACCGGACTGAAAAAGTTTGCTCCCCCACAGTCTTAAGTTAGACTTTAGTTAGATATGGCCTCCTTAAATTACGGATTGGGAATGGGGTGAGTGTGGCATAAAGAACCGGACTGCAAATGAGATAGAGATGGAGAGCTAACCAAAGAGCCGATTGAGAGATTGATAGGGAGATGGAGGTGGTAGTAACAAGGTTTGGAGATGAACTGAATACTTAGAAGGCTGAGGATTTAGTTTCGAATCCACATAAACTTTACTTATAGAAGCCTTATACCTAAGAGCCAAGACATGTTTACGAAGAGAGGCCTGTGCCCCATCCCCAAGAGAAAAAGAAATATATGTGTATATTTTGTCTCATATTTTTTTCTTGACAAGTCTTGATAATTGCCCATGTTGTATTCTTATCATTATCTAATTATAAAATGCACTGTAAAAAAGAATTTTGTTTTAGTTCTTATTATATTAAACGTAGGCTCTTACAGTGAGACTTATTTACCTTTGCTCTGGTCTTCTCTTTTAACAGGGGCATGAATTATCTGCATGAATGCAAGCCAGACCCTATTATACATTGTAATTTAAAGCCCAAGTAAGTTGGCCAGATAATAAAACTAAATTTTTATGAAATCCTAACTTCGTTAGTGCGTGCTTCTTCATTTAATTTTGTACTATCATTTACTAGTGGATTTTTTGCTAAGGTGCCAGGCATATATTACTGGATGCTGGTGACAAATTGAAGGTGGCTGGGTTTGGTTTGATAAAGCTTTCAAAAATATCACCAGGAAAAGCCAAGCTAGCACATCCTATATCTCATATGAACAAATTAAGTGCGTATCTGCTTCCTATATTCTATGTTCTCGATGATTAGCACATCCTATATCCTATATTCTTGATAATTAGTACAAACTTTTAGTCGGTACCTATTGTTTAAACATGGACTAGTTTAAGAATTGAAAAAGAATAAATGCTAAAATATAAACATAAATATTTACTTCGATAATAAGCATTCTACGGATTTGATTTGTTTTCTACATGAATGTATGAGGATAAGTTTTTAAAAATATATGATTTGCGATATTATTTGTGATTTATCTTCTAGTTTGGTTCCTAGTACTATACATATATTTGAAAGCTAAAGAAATTTTTTTTTTATAAAGCAGATAAAAGCACTGTGCTATTGTACTCCATGAAACAAAAGAAGTAGCCTTAATTGTTTTAAAGATAAGCATGCTGGTAATTTTTTGAACTGTGGGCTAAGATTTTACAGATAAACATGGTGTGAATTTTAGGGAGATGAAACATAATTAAGTACCATGAAATCAAAGCGAGAGTAGCTAGAGTTGTAGGATCAAAGCTCTTATTGACTTTCACCTATTTCAGGACTCTTGCTCTTTAGAGCTGAGAGAACATGCTCATAGATTTCTGGCTAGTTGATGCGTAAACTATAGGTAGGTTGAGAAGGACAAAAATAGAAGGTGTGCTCACATCCTGCTTCTTTTGAATCCTTAATTTAGGCTAATTGATATTGTTCAAAATTAAATTTTTAATTTACAAATGCTCTCTAAATTCACCTGGTTTGCCTCTCAAATTCTAAAGAAAAATAAAGAAATAAATAATTACAATTAATCATCCTTAAATTTGGCCTTAGTAGTTGATCTAGTGATGAACCTCCTTTTGTCCTGCATGTACTCTCCTCCGCTTGATGAACTTTATTTTGCGAGTTAAAAGCATTGTAATGAAGTGGTAGAGCCGATAACTTATGTGTTTGTATAGGTGGTGGAATATTTGTAGTTATAGGTGCATTCTGTGATATGATATTTGTAGATACTAACTAACTAAAAATGGAAGAAATTGCAAAAGTGGACTGATATCTCCTCTTGTTAATGAAGTAGAAGATCTCCTTCTTAAAACAAAAGTGATTTGGTGTATGAAAACCTTGGTGGAGAGGTTTCATGATAGGGATGTTTGTTGTTTTGATGGTGATGGCTCTCTAGATGTTAGTTTCTTTCTGTTTTATGACAAGGGCTTTGGTGTTTTGAATATTTTTGCTTTTGAGAGAATGTTGAGCGGTATTGGAAGTTTTAGGTTGGTTGAGACTAAGGAAGGTATTAACTTTTTTTAATGTTGTAACTTTATGGATGTGCGTAGGCTTTTTTGATAGAAATTTATGGGAACTCTAGATATGAAGTTTAGTATGTTAGCTATATAATAGTGGTGATTTCAGTTAATTGTACGTGTGGTTAAAAGCTGTGAATTTATTGCGATAGTAGGTGGACATCATAAGTTGTATTTTAGTGAGGGGAATATACCTTGTTTTTGTTGGAAACAAGTTTGGAAGGGGAGAGGGATTTGACCCTTATACAAACTAATTTTGATCGATACAAAGCTGACACATATATCTTTCAAATCTTGGACCTTCCAATGAATGTATCCCCATCCCAAGGGTTTCCGCATCCTCAAGGTTGTAAGTTCCACTTGTAGGTCTTCTAATGAATTTAAATCCATCCCAATTTTCCCTAGTTGATCCCACTTATGGGCCTTCCAATAGATGTAAGCCCAACTTTATTTACTTGGCAGACACGAATCTTGCAAACTAAAAAATGAATTTAATCAATTATGCCATCTTATCCTTGGGATTAATTTGGAAGACACGTCACCAGACTTCCATTCTCCTTGAGGTTGTAAGTCCCTCTTATCGGCATTCCAATACATGTAGCTCCATCCTAAGTAATATGGCCTTCAAATAGATGTAAGTTTCATCTCAAGTAATGCAGGCCTTTCCATGGATGTAATCACATATCAATTAATTTGGGACAACATAAAGCTATGAAACTAATTAAATCAAACCTTGGGCCTACAATGAATGTAAGCCCTAACTTAAATTAACATTTAGCTAGCTAGCTAGCTCTTATGCTAACAAACTCAACAATCAAAATTAAATCCATGAGCTAAAATCTTATAAATAAAAAAATTCCATATTTCTTAAACATTTATTCGAGTCAAACTGAAACTTTTTGAATAATTGATGATCACGTCATGTCTATGAGCTCTTATCAATCATATCTAGTACATCTGAAACCACGAGTTGCCATGCTTTGTGCCTTTGAATTGTTCAGTAAAACGTGTATGTCTGCCCCTTTGCTATTAAATGAGTCAACCACTAACTCAAGAGCACATCTTTGAGAGAATGCAACCCTTTGACACATATATCTATTTCAACCATTGTATGCTTAAGGTACTTGAGAGAATGCAATTCTTGCTAATCTGATGCTTGGATGTTATGATTCCAAGCTCTCTAATGTTGGCAAGTTGGAATCATAGTGCACCCAGGATCATAAAACTATTTCAATTTTGATTAGATCTATCTCCATTATCCTATACATTCCCCACCTAATTAAATTTAACCTTAAATGCTAAATTTATGCCTAAATTAATTAGCTGGTTATGATTGTAAAAATACATCTATTGTTGTCTTTTATCTCAAACATGATTTTGAATATCTTAAAGAACGTAAATTTACCTTAGATTTGAAAGCGCTTTTATTTCTTTAGATGTGGCATACACAAAATGAACCTTTAATCTAACTACAAGTAGTTTAGCTGTGACATATTTGTTGAGTTTATTTTCTGTTATTTGTTGGTCACGTTTTTAAAGATGCAAAAAATATCAAAATAAATCTTGCACTATTTGTACGAGGCCTTTCTGTGCTAGCTGTCTACCGTGTCCAGTTCAGCCACTGGACTTCTGAAATATGACCCAAAATAGTTCCTCTGTTTGATTCTATTGGATCAAAATTGAGAAGGGACCAAATTGGACATATTAAATCGTTTGGGGCTAAAATGACCCCCTCTTAATAGTCCAAAAACTATTTTATTTTTATTTTTTCTCTTTGAAACATACATTTTACATTGTTACCTCAAAACATAAATTGAGATAATTGCGTTGATATATTTTTTAATTGAATGTAAAATATATGCCCATTGCACTATATTTTCTATGCATATTGGTGAGTTCCAGGTTAAAATGTCATTATTCTAATTTGTCAATAATGGGGCTTATTTGTGGTAGGTTTATATATGGCTCCTGAGGTTTACAAGAACGAAATATTTGACAGAAAGGTTGATTCATTTTCCTTTGGTCTCATTCTATATGAGGTTTGTTAGAATTGCAGAAGTCTTTTTTTCTTTATGATTTTCATGATTATTACAATTTTGTTAAATATAGGATAATGATTTCTGTGCTGGAAAAAATACTTTTATCACATGTCTAAATTAAAATAAAAATTTTACATCTTTATTCTTAGGTACTAAATGTCCATGTTGTGTCAAATAATATAACACTGAATCTCTATTGCTTATCCATCTCTTAACACTTTCAATAGTAAACCAGTGCTCAATATCAAAAAGCAATCAAAATTCACATAGTAGAAAATAAATTCTGTTTTAGTGTAGCACATGCATCACTTACGTTTTGTTTTGTTCGGATGCGTGGGTGCTTCACTTCTTTTAGCTTACTGTATTGCTAAAAAATGGCTTTTAGTTTGCATCTTTTCTTTAAAAATTGTTGCTCAATTCCACATAGTTATCTTGTATCTTATATATATATATATATATAGATATAAAGAAAAGGACAAAAATGTTCCCCAACTCTTTTGACGGACCAATTTGGTCCCTCAACTCTTTAAAAAAGGATCTTTTTGGTCCTAACATGAAATTTTGGGGTTAATTGTGTTAAATTAAGGGGTATTTAAGTTATTTTTAATTAAATTATTATTAAATGTAGTTTTCAAGTAATAATAATTTTTTAAAAAAATTTATTAAATATTTCTTTAATAAAAAAATCATTAATAATTCTAATTTTAACTTATGATCATTATAGACTAGAATTATTAATAATTTTTTATTATTGAAATATTTAATAATTTTTCTTTAGTATTAATACTTGAAAATTATGTTTAATAGATAATTTAATAAAAAAAGACCAAAATATTTCTTGATTTAACATCATTAAGTCCAAAATTTAATATTATGACAAAAAGGTCCCTTTTTTAGGAGTTGAGGGACCAATTGGACCCTCAAAAGAGTTAGGGATTATTTTGGTCCTCTCTCTCTCTTTATATATATAACTTTAACTAAATGTAGAGAGTTATTTTGTATCTTTGGATTTGTTGGACATGCTTTGAACCATGCCCTGCTTTATGCTACCCTTTGAATTTGGCATGTATATTTCGGCCACCTTATGATAGGAATGAGTATTCCTCATTCCTTTTGAATTTAAATATTGAAAAAGCCTACCACTTCACTTTGGGTGAAGTTGATCAACCAACCTTATTCCAATAGCCTCATAATTGACTCTCAATTAACCTTTTGGCCAATTGTCTACTAACTTTCAACCAACCTCGAACTAAGGTCTAGCCACTTAGCTAACATCAAGCTAACTTTCAACTATCTATCGAAATTCAAAATTAAATAATAATTAGAATAGAAAAATATCATTCGAGGTATTGTTAATCTTGTGTTGCTTTTGAAGGAAGGCATCCATTCAAATAAGAAAGTGAAATCCAAGTCTCAAATGGATCCCCATACTTATTATGTTCTTGCTTAGAGTTGTAATCTTGCACTTAATCAATTCTACACCACTTTCAAGAAGTGTACTTTGTAGAGTTGGATTTGTTATAGTCTTCTCAAGAGCTATCTTACCTTTGCAAGCAATGTGAATCTTTTGGAAGGGTGGACCCTCTTTATCTCCTTTAGTTAAGATATTGCAAGACTTTATGTTCTAAGTTTTGCCTTCATGCTTGTAAAAAAGACACTCCTATTTTGAAAGTAGTGAAAGATTTGATAATGTACTTTAAAGCTTCATTAAAGTGAAGTAGGGCTTTGTTGACCTTATTTATTTGTTTTACTTATTAGGGCTTTGTTGATCTCTAAATCATCGATCTGCCCCCATTTGCAACTGCCCACATCGCCCACGTCTCAGTTGAAATAACCGGTTACAATACGAATAAAAGCAAAGACAAAGAAAGAAATGAGAGGAGTTATGCTCACTTGTGATTGAAAGATTGGCTCTTTGCTTTGCTCTTGCGATCCCGTGTCGGCTCCTGATCCCGGCAACTCTGCCTCCCCTGTTGGATCCATCTGCACACCCTCAGCCGCCAGCGACACTCGAGCTCTCTGCATCCATCCGACTGAGCGAGCAGCTCGCCTCCAGTGTCTCCAATTCGGGTTACCCGCATCCAACTTACCCAAAGCCAAACTGCCTCTTGCCTCTACGTTCAATCCTGGTCGAACGATTCGGCCTCCCGTCCTTCACCTCACATGAACAGGCCTGCAATTCTGCCTCTCGTACTCGGCTCTGCCTTCCGCTTCCCAACCCCCTCACACTAAGGCATCCTTCGCCCAGACCTCCGAACTCAAGCACAGCCCTATCTGCTCGATTCCAAAGCTAGCCTCCCGTCCACCCCTCTCAGCACGAAGTGACACCCCCCAAACCCAACGTCTGGCTTGCCTCTAGCCTGATTTCAAACTCTGCTCTTCCTCGCACGTTGGTGTCCGACTCCCACCATACGGCCGAACCCCACAGGCCTATAATCCCTCACACGATTGAAGCCTTTGTGCGCGTACCTCTAGATCTCCTTGTTTCTTGTTTTGAAAGAGTGAGGAAATATTTAATAATGATAATACTAATAATTATTATAATTATAATAGTAATAATAATAAAACAAAGAAGTGGTAGACACCGCAATCACTCAATTGAAGATTGAAGACGAATATTGGGGTTGATCCTTCCTCTGAAGCCCTCGATCGTCGATTTTGATCGAATCGAGCGGACCTAAAAGGGCAATTGTCATCCCCAACCTGCCCTCCCAGGGAGGGAGTGCTGTAAGGTTGCCAAAATTCTGGGAAAACACCAAATTATAAAAATTCTCCTAACATGTAGTGTGATCGTCAAATTGGAGGATTTAAAGACCAATTCCATAGTTGAGTAGTATATAGACTAATTTAAATACTTCAATTAGTCTAGGGCAAAATTGTCACCTCACAAATAATATAGGGATCATTCTGACCATTTCTCAAATTTAAATAAAAAAACTTTCTGAAATTTAGTCCTTTTTTTATGCCCAAGTATATAAAATTTTTTTGTCACATTGTAGAAATCTAAATTAAACTGAACTTGAAAGTTGAAATGATCTCCTTTTAATCTTTTTCATGTCATTTCTTGTTGTCCATTATTTTGGGTTCAGATGTTGGATGGCTCGCCACCTTTCCATCCTAGCCCCCCTGAAGAAGTTGTTAAAAAGATATGTTTGGAAGGTATACGGCCGCCACTTAAGTTCAAGTCTAAGATTTGTCCTTCCGACCTAAGAGAGTGAGTCTCCCTTCAGCACTTACTTTGATTTGTTTCCAAATCTATGAAAGATAATAATTGGGCTTAAATGGCTTGCTTTCTATGATTTTCCTATTAACGCCTACATTTTGTTTCCCTAAACTGTGCACAGACCTTTATTGCTACTGCAATTTGATTGAGTTTCAAGAGTGTTAATTTAGAATTCTGTTCTGTAGGTTGATTAAAGAATGCTGGAGTACAAATCCCATGATAAGACCAACATTCGCTGAAATAATTGTGAGATTGAACAAAATGCATTCGGACTATTCTAAGCAGGGCCGGTGGAAAGGCACCTTTAAGCTTCCCTGGTATGCTATATCTATGTTATTGTCTATTGCTAATGCTACCACCTTCTGAATCAAAGCTCCTTGTCATGCAATTACATGTTTTGCATTAAATGCTTTGTAGATTTTAATAAAGTAGCTATCGTAGTGTTTTACAGTTAAGCATTGTTAATTAATGCTCATTATCTTAAGCGGTGAAGCATATACTGAATCATTAGCCTCATTTTCTTGACTTAGGCCTTACAATGTAGATTGAAATGTCCAATCTTTTCTGAGAAAATCTTATTCCGTATGAATGAAAAAGATGTCTATTTCTTCTACTTTTTGGAGAGCAAGTAAAAGCTAGATCATGAGAAATTGACATCTTAGAAAAGCTGCATCCCTGTAGGCATTGGCCAGATTCTCTTTTTACCAAAAGAGAACTGTGAAATTTTAGTGTGAAAAATAGGTAGTTGGACTTGTTTCGGGAGCTATACTAGCAAAAGCTCATATGTTTAGTGTTAATTTCCTAGAACTCAATTATGTTTGTGTTAGACCAGTTCAGGAGGGACCGGCTCGTGTTACAGGAGGTGGATAAGTTTCGGTTCCTGTTTCAGGAGGGATTAAGGTGGATTAGGAGGAAAAATTCAAAAGAGGGGCTGTTTTGGGATTTACATAATTACTGGATGCTTTAAGTAGGTGGTTTTATTAGGGTTAATATTATGAATTATTTGTTGAAATTAGATTATTATTAGGGTGTTTGGGCTCTAGCCGGCGACTAGAGATTTGGGAGAGTCGGATCTTCCTCTCCAATTGAAGATTCACTTGTATCTTGTCTTTTCTTTCATAAAACTTTCAATACGAAGTGTTCATGTGTGTTTTATTCCAAATTTTCTTGTAGTTGGTTTTCTGACAAAATGTAATACTTTTGACGGATAATGAATTATTATAAAAATTTTCACTATAAATAAACAAATAAATATATTATTTAACCTTTCATTTTTTTTTCTCTCAGATGGACAGTGGGAACCTTATATTTGATTATTTTGTCATCGTATAAGCTATGACCAGATAAAAAGAAGGAACGATAAGAAAAAATGACGAAGACAAAAAAAAAAAAAAAAAAAAAAAAAAAAAAAAAAAAGCAACGCTAGAAAACCAATGCTATCTCCTATCAAATTAAGGCTTCATTTGAGATAGTTTTTTTACAGCTTTTTAAAATTATTTTCCAGCATAAAAATTTTCTAATTCAATTTTTTTTTTTTACTAAAAAATTATTTTAAAAAGTCGCAAAAAAGCTGTCCCACACGAAACCTAAATCCGCTTTTTAAACAACTTCAATGAACGTTTGCTGTTCATCAAGAGCTTGTAGTTTTGTTACTAAAGAGTCCTGTTGGGGAGGAAAGACTTCTATCCTAATACAAACAAAGCCTCAAAAACAGTATTCTAACAAGTTATATTTGAGTTCATTATTTACTGACATTGAGCATCTTTTCTTTCATTCATTGCAGGATGTAGCATTGTAAAGTTTCTGGTGTGGCGCCATATGCAAGAACAAAAAACTGCGGATCGAGTTGTGGCTCATTGGTTGATGAAAAAATTTCCTCCCAAGTGATCTGTATTCGAATCGCTCAAACTGCCCAATAAAAGAAAGTAAGAATAAAAACTGTCTTGCCAATAAATTAACTAAATAGAAGTTGAAGAATAGCCGAATCTCGTTTGAATTTGAGGTTTTGTTTGGGACGATTTTTTTTATTGCTTTTTAAAATTCTTTAGAATTTTGATAAAAAATTGTTTGTCAGATAAATGACAAAACTGTTTGATTTACACTTCTTAAACTGGCTCAGTGTTATCAGGGAAAAAGGGGGGCTTAAGGATATTATCATCAAGGTTTAATTTAAGTAAATTTAAAAAATTTTAAATTTATTTTGAGATGAATATAAAATATATAATTTAATTAAAATTTGTATTATATTTATCTTAAAATAAATATTTAATTTTGAATTGTTTTTATAAAGACTTGATCAGAATATTTTGAGCCTTATTTTTTGCCTTTTATGATAATTTAGTTTTTTTTTTACTCAATGTATGTTTTTTTATTACACTTAAAAATGTTGATAATAGATTAGATAAGTCTCGGATTTTTGGCTTAAAATATTTATAGGTCTAGCAAACTGTTACTTTTTATTATAAAATTTTTATACTATAAATATGTTTTAAAAAGCCGTAAGAAAGTTATTCCAAATAAAATTTGAGTATTATTTATATGATATGTATGTGAGTTTAACTTAAATGTCTAAAAAAAAATTATGAACAATACCTACTCTGACAAAAACCATAATTTAGAAAGAAAATAAAGGGAAAGAAAAGGGAAAATTTTTTGTTTCGGGCTACCTTAATAAAAATTGATTATGTGGATTTACAATTTTTATTTATTTATTTTCATATGAATATAATATATAATTTGTTCATATTTTAATTATTTTTAAATAAATTTCAAATTTTTAAATCAATTTAATTTTGATTAGGCTGCGGTTCAAAGTTTTTAGATATACATTAAAATTAATGTAATGTATAGATAATTAGTATTATATAATTAAGAGTTTTAGGGCACAAATATTCAAATTTTTATGAGGCATAAATTATTTCTTAAAAAAATGTGGATTATTCTTGAAAGAATAAGTTCTAAAAACATTCTCCTTGAATAATGTGTATAGATTCACTCTCATATTTATGCCACATTCAGCCATTCCAAATTATCTATGAAGAGCTTGTAGAGGGTCATGATAAGTCCAAATTATATTTTCAATGTTTTGTGGCACTAAAAATTAATAAAATAACATTTTTTATGTAAGTAATATTATATTTTCTAAAGAAATTACTTCAACAAAACTGCTATAATAATAATAATAAACTGTATTGCTCTACCCTTAAGGTTTAAAACACATGAAGAATTTTTAGCTAACATTACAGTACTTAAATTTATGATCAACCTTACCTCTTTTTACAAAATATTGATTAGGAACGAAGACAAGCAGAAGGGGAAGCAAAGCCAGACAGTTTTATCTCTAGACGTAGTGCTCCTGATTTGCCTCCGGATGATCCGATGACACCTAATAATTTCTCCCAAACTGAGGAGGTCTGTCCCACGATTTATTATTCTGTGGGGGGTGCGGAGGAGGGCATTCAGAGGCCAATAAAAATATGTAACGTCACCCCATTGTTGGGTACCCAACTCGATACCCCTAGGTACCGCTGAATACCCAGTACTTAACATGACGGTTCTACCATGCAATACCCATACAGAATAAAAGCTCGTCCCAAGGCTCTGATAGTTCTCTGTAGCTTGCCCATATTATTTCAGGACTAAAACATTATAAGTGGATTTGCATTTTTTTTTGTGGAAAATTGAGGGGAAAGCTCATTTTCATTAACTATAAAGATAATTATTAAATATTTGATAAAATACAGAAAAGAATGAGGCTTCGTTTGGGACTACATTTTTGTACTAAAACTCAAGCCGTCTCAAAAGAAGCCTGAAGCTACTAGAGCTGCATCAAAAAGAAGCAAATTTCATAAACAGTCAAAGCCTACATGACACTGAAAAATACAAAACACAAAGATCTGAATTTCACAAACAATAAAACAAAAATTCATCAAATAATATCTATCTATAGAAAAACCTTCAAAGCATCCGCCATAAACAAATGGTGAAAGCATATTTGAGAAAGCATTGACAATAATGCAAAATATATATGGAGAGGCAAAAACCTTTGCCTCAAACCAAAAGAGGATCCAAAAAAGCCCTCAAAACTACTGTTAAGATATATTGAGAAATAAACCTTGCTGGTGCAAGCTTTAATCCACAAAATGAAGATAGCTGGAAGTAGTGGTGTAAGTGAGCCACGCCGGCTTGAGCTTGACTCGTTATGGGCTTACGAGCCAAGTTTATTGAGCTCATGAGTCAAGTTCGAGCTCAAACTCGATCTCGTTTATTAAAAATTCCGCCCATGGCTCGTGAGTCGACTCGAGCTCGTTTATAGTGGGACAAGCTCGACTGTCGTGCTCGAGTTCGAGCTCGCCTTCCGACTAACAAGCCGAGCTCGTTAAGGCCTAAACTCGATTCAACTCGACTTGTTTACATCCCTAGCTGAAAGTCCTTTCTAAGCCCGTCATTTCAAAAGAAAGCTCCTACATACTAGTTCAAAGGCCTTACGAATATCAAATTTACTCAAAAGTATTCCAATCTAGCCTTTTATTTAATTTTTTTTCTTAATATTATTCTTCATAATGAGCTCTTGGGAAAAATTCTCTTCCAAATAAACCCAACTTGGCTTGAATGAATGATATGTGACATGATAGTTTTAAGCCTTTTAGCTAAAATTTCAGAGATCACAATGTAAAATGCATTATAGGGAGATAGTTCTGAAGTAAAAAATGTTGCCAGCATGATTGAAGTAATAACGGTAGCCTAAACTCTTCTTGGAAGGTATCCATTTTGAAAGAATAAAAGATTTAACAGCTTTACAAACCTATGCCAAAAATATGTCATCCACTTTTGTAAAGTGAATTTTACATACCTACCACTAAATATTTATAAGTAATTACAAATATATCTAACATTTAAATTTTAATATTTATTTATATAATACTATAAAATCCAGATAATATGATACTTACTATCATTTAGATTATGATATTATATAAATAAATGATTACATGTCATATATATGAGGCATGAGTGAACGCAATCTTCTTCATTTTATACATACGCTGACTACAAAGCAAATTTCTAACAGGCCTATAAGACAAAATTTCACTGGAGAGGAAAAAAATTCCAATTTTCAGTGATATAAAGATGAAGCTTAAGAGGAGTTCTCATCATCAGAACTTCCAGACCTGACTGCCTGAAACTTGGGAAACACAGGTGGAGTCATTTGGTTAACTTCAGTAGAAGGTTGCCGAGCTGAGCTGATAAATGTTCTCTCATTGATCCTCCCAATCTCTTTGCATACCTGATCAAGAATGTTCAGGAAATCCCTTAAAATCATGAATATTCTGAACGGGTGAGCTTCTTCTTTGGCTGAGTTTCCATGAAAATACTCTGTGATCTCCCTCACTAGAGACAGTGCAACACTCTCCTGCACTTGCAGCTTAACAATTTGAACTTCGGCCCTTTTCAAAAAGCTTATCATGGAATCATGGAATCTCTCACTATTCTCAGCTGGGCTCAGAGCTTCGTTTAGTCGAAGCACCTCTCTAACTTTTCCGATACCGCCGGCAAGCTTCAAGACATAGCTACTAAGCACATCACAGTCCATACTGGCAGAGTTTTTCACATTGCCGAGCTCATTACCGAGCCCGGAGACAATCTGGAGACCAAGTCTCCTGCAGTTGAGATCATCTCCTACAGTAGCTGAGTGAAGTTTGGCCGCAGAACGGCGGGAACCCTCAGCCCGGATAATTTCTTGAACAACAAAATGAAGAAGAGTGGTCTTGCCATCAGTACCCTTCACATCAACAAGCTTGAGGAGTGTGTCGAGTTTGAAGGCTTGCGCATCGCCGCGGTTTGTTCCAACGTTCATACGGTTCCCAGTCTTGAGAACGGCCTCAAGAAGCTTTAGGAAAAGGCGACTATTTCTCAGCTCTTCGCAGGCTGTCTGATAACAGTTTTAAGAGATATAGAAGACAAAATAAGCAATTGCATTCAAGGAAAAGAGACAGTTTTAATAGAACATAGAAAAGTAATTGCATTCAGGAAAAAGTGCAAACATTAAGTGATGAGAAGATCAACAGTTTCTTTGACATCCCCTCCCACCTCATCTAGCGACAGCTCCTCCTATGGCTTCTTTTTTATTCCTCGATTATGGTTTCACTTCTATCGTGAGAAGATTGTTGACACCTCTAGCTTACTTTCAACCTCCTCTAACTACGGATCCTCTTCCAACTTCCAAACGATCTCCAATGGCCTTCTAGTGGTGGTTCCTACTCGAACACCCCCAATGAGGAGAAATTATTACGTGCGGAGTCCGGATACATCCGGACTCCAATAAAAACGCGACACGTCCTTGTACATAGTTTGTACAACCGTACATACTATGCACAAATTACAAAATTATGTACATAGTGTGTACATACCTATAATACATAATATGCACACTATGTACACAATGTACAAATTTATACACACTGTGTACAAGGATATGCGTCACATTTTTATTGAAGTCCGGACGTAACTCTACGTCCGGACTCCGCACATAATAATTTCTTCCCAATGAGAAGGATAGTCAGTTCCTTCGGCTAACCTCCTATTTCCTTAAATGAAGGATCATCATTTGGTTTCAGTTTATCTGCACCAGTGGTGTTTCATCCCTACTCATATCAGTGAGAATACATTCTTTCTATCAATCCAACTTCTACTAATTCGCTAATCCACATTGGTCACGCATTTTTTCTCTAGACTTGTTGAAAATTTAAAATAAAAAACCAGTTACTTAGGCGCAAGATCAAATTGGAGAAATTTTGAATATTTTCCAACGTCCCCATTCTCCACCATTGTTAAGAGAAATTCAATGAGATTAGTGGGCTACTTTACAGCTAGGTTTGTTAACAATTCAATCTCAAGTCAAAAGGACCTTGCCTTGAAGCCATTTTATTCGACCTCAAGCCTAGCCAAGTCTTGTTATAAATTATCCAAATCTAATCCTGAAAATCAATTCAATCTTGAATGATTTTTTATCTCCCAGAACAAATTCATGGTCCAACATAAATAAATGCATTCATACATATATAAATTTATATAACAGAAACACATTGATGCATATATACATCAATAAAAATCTAGAAGCATAAATGAAGATATACATATGCATTTATACACACATGCATATGCATTTTGATCTAATTCGAGCTCAACTATATTCAATTCCAATCCAAGCTTGACTTAGCTTGTTGATTGGGAAAGTGGCTAAGGTTTTTATGCTCTGATATTATGTTGAAAGAAAATAATTTCATATGTATCATTGAATATCAAAGAAAATAAATAATAGAGAACAATTCACCCAATTATGAGGAGATCACATTATATCTTGTAGGGGTGTCAAAATAGGTTTTCGGGTTGGGTTTGGGCCCAACATGAAACAAACCTTCCTTCATCTAATCCAACCCGAACCCAACCGAATTAGGAACCCAACCAGTCGGGTTACTGAGTTGACCCGACCCAACCCGCTAACCCAGGTTGCGAGCAAGGCAGTAGGCCAGCGAGGGTGCGGGCCACGGCGGTGAGCTAGAGTATGAGGTGCGCGACTTGAGCAAGCAAGGGCGAGGCGCGAGCACGAGCTGCACGATGCGAGAGTGAGTGCGAGGTGAGAGCAAGGGGTGCGAGCACGAGCTGTGGGCGACGCGAGCATGGTTGCTATGCGGGCCGGGTGAGGATGTGTAGGCAGCGCAGCAGAGCCTGTGCGGGGTGCGTAGCCAGAATCCGATCAAATTCGGGTTAGTGGGTTGACTCAAACCAATTTTTCAAATGGGTCATAAATTAGAAGTTAGAACTCAACACTTTCTTAAACGGGTCGACCCGAATCCGGATTTCCGGGTCAGGTCAATAAATGACACCCCTAACACCTTTGTAACACTTCTTAAAAAGGAAGATAACTAATATAATATACTAACAAATTCAATTGCATAATTGTTTGAGCATAGAAAAATCTATAATAACGAATTAGCTTACAATAGCCATGGATATTGGATTCACAAGAACTTAAGACAAGAATAAAGTAGTAAATAACACAGGCGTATGTTATTACAGAGTTTGAAACCAGCTTATTGCTTCCAGTTGGAATTAGTAAGTTGGGCATAACTGAATTATAGTAAACTATTCAAATTTTAGCCTCAAGTATTTCTTTCTAGAAGAGGTAAAGCTATATAGAATCCAATTATATGCAACCCAATTACCCAACTACGTAAAGCAACAGTACCAGTCCAACTTCCTGTTTATTTATTTTGGATCATGAGAATCTTAATCTCAAACAGACTTTGTCTTCATTTGGGGCGATTTTTTTTTTGCTTCTTAAAGTAGATTTTTTTTATAAAAAATTTTATTTTTGTATTAAAAAACTGCTTTATGAAGAAGTAAGAAAGCGGTTCCAAATGAAGCCTTTATCAGAAATATAAGAGCCTATCTACTTCAAAAAATTTAAAAGACGCATGATGGAAAGCTTTGACAGAGAATCAGACTAACCTCAAGAGTTTCAAATGATTTTCTAAGGTAATTAACTTCCGAGTCAAAATTGGCAATGTAGAGCATCGCTTCAACTCTTTTGAATGCAAATGGTATGTCAAGCACCGCTTTGAGAAATCTTTCTGCTGGTCCAAGCTTGAAAGGGGAACTGTCATTGTATTCTCTCAGTTTAAGCTCTTCCTCTTTGCTTGGTGCCATTCTCAGTAATGTCTCCAGAAGCTCATTACCAAGAGCATCAGTGTTACCTGTTTCCAGAGATTAAAAAGAACATAATAAACAACAATGCAAATTGTCTTCACAAGGAATAAGTGGGCATAATTGAAGCTTTGGCTATATTATATTTAAAAATGGTGGGTTAAAAAAATATTTAAGTTGCTAAAACTCAACTAGTTGATTCAAACAAATATATTTTAAGCTAGGTCAATTCAAATTCAAGCACTTTCCATTTATTAAATTAAAAGGTAATAATTTGCACATGTTTATATTTGTAGTACTCATATACATATATGTTTATAATATACTTAAAAAACATACATGATATTTTTTTTTTCGAGCTAACTTGAGCTGACCCGAACCAATCCAAGGTTTGCTCAAATTTGGCTCAAATATTGGAGCACGCCAAATCAACTCATTTGGCTCAATTTGAGCTCAATCTGCGTTGAAATCGATTCAATCTTCGAGTTATCTTCTAGCAAAAATCTTACTCATAAAGTCAATAGAAGGTTGTCTTAAAGAACAATTTATGTGGTTATCACACATAAAACCCTGGAAAATTTATGTTTACTGCAAAGTGCAAACCAAACACTCCATAGTTGTACTTTGACAGCACAAGTAATTAATAACAAGAATATCAGTACCACACTCTTATGATTTATAAATGCAAAAAGGCCAAGGATGCCTATGATCCACACTATCTATACAATTTTGATCACTGAGGGAGTAGAGAAAAAACAAGCAATAATTTTCCAAGTAGCATCATAGGGTTGCAATCTTCAAGGATCAAATATAAGAATATTGGAGTTTAAGACAAATATTTGAAAACTATTCATTGTCCAGTGATTACTTACAAAAAGTTACAATAATTGGTCTGATGGTTACCTTTTCATGGAGGGAGGACAACTTTTTTTAACCCCCACATAAGAGAGATAATTACGTGCGGAGTCCGGACCCGGAAAACCGTTCAGTTGTGTGATTGTAAACAACAAAAGAACAATTATTGTTCACCACTGTGCTTTTACTGTTCACAGCCACAAAACCAAACAGTTCTCTGGGTCCGAACCCCGCACGTAATAATCTCTCCACATAAGTAGCGGCGCTTTTGCTAATTACCTTAAGTTAACTTAAAAAGTATGAAAAAGCATGCATCCAGTACTTTGGTGCAACTTGAATTGTTATAGATCATTGAAAAGAAGCATTATTATAAGAGTTGTGTAATTTCTAATTGATAAACAGTATCATTGACCAGAATTAACAAATTAGAAGAAATGCAGTGTAAATAAACATCAGCCTGACCATCCAAAAGCGCCTCGCAAACTTCCTCCTTGGTTACATTCAGTGCTCTAAGCAGAATCGCAATGTTCTGAGACTTCTTTGGATCAAGCACTCTAATATCTTGCACTGTAGCAGAAGGAATCACAGGCCTTGCACCCTCCTGTACCATGTTCTTTGTATCATAAACAAACAATGCCTCAATCATCTCCTCATTCAACCTGTCAGTTAACAATTATTTAAATCAACGACAAGATGAAGATTTCAGACAATCAAAACTACTTCACTTAAAACAATAAAATTAAAATAAAAGAATTCCTACTGGAACGAGCTAGATTTCATCTGATCCCAAACCATTTCTCTATCAGAGCTCGCCTTGACCTTATCCCAATGCAAAGGCTTCAGCTTGGGCTTGGGTATTTCCTCGCTCTTCTCCATAACTTCAGGACTTTTAGGTGTATCAGTGGAAAATACCATGTCATTGGTCTGATGGGCAGGTGGAAGTGGCGGCGGTGGTGGCGGAAGGACAACAAAAGGTTTTCCTGCAAACTCCCCAATGGCTCTAGGCGACCAAAGGTTCTGACTCGATACTGGAACTTTCTTCGATGGAGAAAATGGCGATGAAGAAGAAGGGGGTTTCCTCTTTGGAGGCGAAGGAGTCATCGGACGAAGCGGCACGTAGGCACGAGGCGGAGGTGGCGGAGGCGGCGGCCGGAAAATAGTAACACTTGGTAGCTTGTGACTTGATCGTCCTGGGCTAGAGCCAATAGGAGGCGAGGAGGAAGGCGAAGACGCAACATTCGAAGACGGATACGACGGCGTGCTCAGCGTTGAAACAGTCGACCCGCGTTTCTCCGGCGGCGGCGCGGTCACAAAAAAATTCAATTTTGAGCTTGATCCATGCTTGAAATCAGCACCACGCTTCTCACCAGGAGAAACGCTTGGAGAGTAAAACTCTTCCTCCGAAGAGAAACCCCCTTCGCCATCCCCCTTCCGAACATGGCGAGCAAGGGGCGGGAGCGGGCGGAGCTCCGGTGAGCTCGCCGGCGGCGGCGCTGGTGCTGGTGCACTGGAACCATCTTCCTGGCCACGGGAGTTCACAAGAGTACCAAGATACAGAAACTCGGAACTCACCGGTCCAGAGTTCGCCGACGGCTTCCGGCTATCGGATGCGGCAGAGTTGGGAGGGAATAGCCGGTCGCTATCGGAGCCGTCATCGGCGCGGTCACTCCGGCTTCGTCGGCGGAAGAAGAGAAAGAGAAGGAGAAGGAGAGATAGAAGGGCGAGGGAGAGAATGGGAAAGGCAATGGCTTGGAGAAGTTTGGTGGTAGGGGAATGGGAAGAAGGGGTGATAAGTGAAGAGATGTTGGCCGGAAAAGTAGGGAGGGATGACGAAGCGGAGGGAGGTGGAGGTGGAGGTGGAGGAGGAGTGGGGTTGGAAGGAAAGAAAGGTTTTTGATTCGTGGAGAAGGGGTATTTGGGGAAGCTAATGGAAGGGGGTTGGGCAGGAGGCCAAGAAGAGGTGAGAGGGAAGAAGGGATGGTGGAGGAGTCTGCGGGAAAGGACAGGTTTAAAGAAGAGGAGGAGGAGGAGGAGGAGGAGGAGGAGGAGGAAGTCATGGGTTGGCATTGCTTCCTCCGGTTTCTCTCACTCTCTCTCGATGAAGGTTGGAATAAAGGCGAGCCGATAAACAGCGAGCAACAAAAGGAGAGCATACACGGCAAGTGAGAAAGGAAGAGAAGAAAGGTCCAAAACGGCTACTTGAGAGCTTGGCTGGCTTTCTACACTGAGAGTTGCTCGTTTCGAGGTGATGCAGCTGTGGAACAGTACCAGACAGAGGTTTTCAGGGGGGAGAGAGAAGAGGGGGGAATTCGTGTCTGAATAGCCGGGGGAAGAATGAGGATCGGATCCGCATGAATTACAGCAAACAGCAATTTGACACAATCAAATTTTGGGTTGATAATTTTCAATTCTATATTAAACAGAGTCCTCCATTGAATACCCATACCCAATCATGTACCCACTCATATCTAATGGATATGGGTGGGTATGGGTATGCTCATGACCTTGTGGTTGGGTATGAGTGGGCACTGAACATCGGGAGCAATTATTATGTCCGGTCACCGAACGTGTTCATAGACCAATAACCACGCGCCACATCACCTGAAACTCGGTATTGCTCGTTATACATTCAGATACGTTCTGATTTGACCAAACGTAATAATTACTCCAACATTGGAGGATAAATCAATTTATATTGTTAATCACCATATATCTTATATTACTGCAATCCTCACTATGTAGTGTGCAACACTTAACCACGTTGCGACTACGATAAATTCTTATATGCGGCTTGAAAGTTTGCAATCATGATAACAAGCCTCAAGGTCATCAATTAGTGGTAGATTGCATTCAAAAAGTATGAAAAGTTGGTGTGTATAGGTGGGCACGACATCCCGAAAATCATCATGGGTGGGTGTGAGTGGGCAAAACCCATCCGAGTAAAGTATGGGTACCCAACCAAGACCCTATGCAGGGCTTTGATATTATACCTATTCTAACTAATAACCTTTTTTGTGTTCGAAAAAAAAAATAGGAAAATTGAGTTTATGTGCCTCATAATGAAATTATAATTATAATAATAATATAAGCCACAATTATTAATGATGATATGAATGTTCGAATAAAATAACTATTTAAATATTTTTCTTTCAATCGTTATCGTCATCCAAAAAACATCTCTTTATGATTTCAAGTGAGCCCTCTATCATAAAGTTTTTTCCATGAACTCCTTCAAGTAAATGGAAAGTTATTATTCCAACCAAATTCAAATATGAGGCTCAAACTTTATTCATTTTTGACAATAGGGTTCTTCTTTCATCCCCTTTTCCATTGTAACATATCCTTGCCAATGTTGGAAGGGGCAATGATTTGATATGCTCACTAAGCATGATCATCATAATTATAACATTATTTGATATTATTTTAGTTGCAGGGATTTAGTAATATGTATAGGATTCTTCGAGTTTTACTATTGTTTTGTTTTTTTTTCTTTTAGTTATTCTTTTGTACTCAAGAGTGAGAAGATAGATTATTCTATTTGTATGACTCCTGAATATTTTACATATTGTTTGAATAGTGAATATAAATGTACATTAATATTTTAATCAATAGAAGTTAATTTTACTAGTATTTCATTATTTAAAAGAATTAAATAGCTCTGATTGTTATAATTAAAAAGATAAAATGAATAGTTTTTTTTCGAAATTCTATGGCATCATAAACTTGAAATATTAAAAAAGGCTTAAGTACCTAAATATAAAAAATTGATACATGCAATGTTTAGACCCGCTTAAAAATAATAAGTGGAGGTAATATACAAGTATTCAAAATCATTATAAGGTACTTATCCCAATAAAAATAAAAGATAAAAGAAAAAGAAAGAGATTAATTGTTAAATATCTGACATAAAAAATTGATATATGTAATGTCTAGCATTGTTTGTATTCATTTCATTAAATTATTGAAATCATATTACCTAAAAAAAAACTTCTAGGTAAATTTAAGGATTAATCGGTCAGTAGGGGTGTCAATTTTTGACACGACCCGAACCCGACCCGGAAAAATCCGGGTTCGGGTCAACCCAAACCCGAAACGGGTCGGGTTCGGGTTCATGAAATCAACCCGTTTTAAAAATCGGATCGGGTTCGGGTTGACCCGCCAACCCGAAATTGACCCGAAAGTGACACGAAAACTCATTTTTGACCCGAAAATCCGAGATTGACCCGATTTTTGACCCGAAAATTAACAATTTTGGGTCAATTCCGAGTCATTCGTGTCGGGTCGGGTTGACCCGAACCCGAATTGGGTCGGGTTCGGGTCCAGAAACCTGACCCGTTTTTAAAAACGGGTCGGGTTCGGGTTGACCCGAACAGTGCCGGGTCAGTTTCGGGTTCGACCCGAACCCGACCCGTTGACCCGAATTGACACCCCTATCGGTCAGGTTGACCCGAGTTTGAGATTTGAGGCAGGCCAAGTCTGAGTTCAGATTTCTAACATGTTTCCATAATCTGGTCAGGTTCACGTCGAGTCAAATAAGGATGGATTATTTCCGTGTTACACTCGAACTCGACCCAAAAACCTATTTTGACACCCCTAATTTTGTATATCTCAATTTTCAAAAAATATGAAAATTTCTAGATATGGTGATTTCAAATGTATTTTTGTGGTATAAAACAAGAATAGCTTTAGGCCTACAAACCTTTTACCATATATGTTTTTGTATGTTATAGATATATATAACAATTTTGGATATTTAGATATATTTTTAAAAATTTTACCCGGGAGTTTTAAATAGTTTGATTTTTAATTGTTTAAAAAATTATTTTGACCCCCATAAATAATGTCATAGTATAATTAAATATTCAAAATGAAGCACTGAACAATATCTGATAATTTGGTTATATTATGAAATAGTAAAATTGTATATATTAGTACATATTTCATTGCCTACCATTATAACATTTTGTTAAACTTTGAAATGAGTTATTTATATTTTTTTACTGCAATGCAATGAATTATATACTTATCAGATTAAAATGTGTAATTCTGACGTGTTCTGATGTATGTGAAGGAAGATTTATTTTGATGTTAAATGCACATTCTGATGCTAAGGGTGCACTCTCATGTTATATGAACAATCTGTTATGATGTTATATGCATATTCTATTCTGATGTCATACATTTGAGTGTCATAAGGGCATATTTATTTATTTGTCAGCACATGAGTTGTTAGGGTCATAATTATATAAATTTTATTCTTATGGGAGGTACAAGGCCCTCAGAAAAAATATGTTACTTTCTATTCTAATATATTGTATGCTTATTTATTTACTTTCTAACCATTGTGATTTATATTTCTAATAACTGTAATTTTTATTCTCATTAGCACAATGATTTATTAAATTATTTTAAAATTTGATTAAATCCTTCATAAATGAATTATTTAGAAATTTAAATAGATTAGTACAACCTGCTGAGTTGTATTGGCTTACAATTATTTGCATTTATGTTTAAGGGTTTAGAAAAGGGAAAATGCACAATGAGTAACTGTGTCAAGATCTGATCAGTCTATGTCACAACCCAACCCAATCAGGACAAGCCCTATCGTGTTGAGTTGTGACAGACAAATCCCAAAATCTAGTTTTAGAATTATTTCAAATTTTTTGACAATATTCATTGAAATAAATGATAAATTACATAGCTACTAAAATATCTAAATACTAAAAAACTCATTCATAAAGTTTCTTTCATTCATCAAAATAAATATATACACTATAGTACATGACTATATGTAAGAGTTACAGAACTAAAAATTAAACAAATCATGACTGTACAAAAATAAAAATAATAAAATATCTATGATCTCAGATCTGATCTTGAACTGCTAGTTTACAATCTCTTTCTACTTACCAGATCTTGAAAATTAGAAGTAAAACTACGTGAGCTACAACAGCTCAGCAAGCCACACAAATCAATCTAAATTTTCAAATATTTTTTTAAATATTTTGCTGAATATTTAAAATCATTTAATTATAGTTTAAATAAATCAATGAATTGAGAATCACAAAATTGGAAAATGTAATAAATGCATAGCATCTATTCTATGATTCAGATAATAGTATAAAATAAACTAATAAATTGAAATTCATATCACAGAGTATTTCAGATCACATTTCTCGGATCCAGACATAATCTCAAATGATTTTGATCCCTTATGACTCCCTTTTTATTTATGCTTATAACACTAAAATATATCAGATATCTCTATCTCAGATAGAATCTTAAAGGATACTGACATCTTATAAGTTTTAATAATTTCCTGACACAAATACAATCTCTAGGGATTATGGCCCCTTATGGCTCACAACAGATATAATTTAATCACATATGCACATTTATCATCACATTATAATAATTAAGGAGTAATTGGGCATTTATAAAAATTTTAAGGTATTGTATAACAGTAAATAACAGAAAATCTAACTAAGCAAAAATGCATATTTTTCATAAATTATCATGGATTGTGTAAAATAATATCTTAAGACTTTTATTATACTACAATACTATTTTTAACATCCCAATAATTTTTTATTCAATAAAGATCCCCCAAATTTTAAAACCGCGATGAAAAATTTTTAGAAAATATTCAAAATATGCATAATCATAATCTCTACAACATACAAAAAGTTACGCGGTGAAAGTTTTACCGGTGCAAGTTATCCCCGTTTTTATAAATTAACTTATTTTATTTAGAACATTCTGATGAAATCGGTTTAAAAACATACACTTGACAGTCTAAAAACCCTTACTTATATCCACATGAGCTAATTTATTAAGAAATTTTGATAGTGTTAAAAAATTATGAAAAAAATTAGGGAAGCTAAAACACGACATTATAAATGTTCTAGCAAAGACGGTTTGTGATTTGGACTTCTCTATGTCAACAAAAAAAATCATGAAAGTTTAAAGGATTTCATAGTTTGAGTCTTTAGAAGTATTTATTTTTTTCTTTTTATTTTTACAATCATAGATAGTTATTTAATCAACTTTGCTATATATTTCAATTTGTAGCCATGTATTGTAATGTAATTATTATATTTATATTTTGATGAAAAATGAAAATAAAATTGTGGATGAGTTATTTTATGTATATTTGTAGTTATTAGCAGTTCCTTGATTTGTTGGTTGTTTCATATAAAAAGGCTTGGTTATGAAGTGTAGGAATGACCTTTCTTTTCTTAGACTTAAGTGAGA